TTAGTTTGCAGCGTGTGACCCAGTGCCTAACCCACCATGTTTTGTTACCTTTCCAAAGTAACTTTCTATGGTTGTTGTTGCTGTTAAGTGACAGCGAGTCAGGTCCAACTGATGGCAACCCTGTGCACAACAGAACGGAGCACTGCCCGGCCCTTGTCATCCTCACAATTGTTCTCACGCCAACACAGCCTATCATGTTAAAAGCCTTCCTCGTTCTCACTGCCCCTTCACTTTACCCAGCGTGACGTCCTTCTCCAGGCACTGTCTCTCCTGACATGTCCAAAGTCTGTGAGGCAAAGTCTCACCATACTTGTCTCTCAAGAGCTTTCTTCCCAGAAAGAGTTGTTTATTCTAGAGCAAACTCAGCTTGGGTCAAGAGGGAGGTCAACTGACCAGGTATCCTATGATACCATGAGCCTTGAAAACGCCCTAGAGGGTCACTCTGAGTCAGAATGGGCTTGATGGCAGCAAGGTACTCGAAGGCCAGGCACTTGATAAGTATTAACTGTGAGCCTTACAGTAGCCCTACGGGTCAGACTGATGGCGAGGCGAGGCGAAGGAGCTTGCATAGCACATATGGAATAGCCCCAGGCTCCACACACAGGGCGCCTGCCTCCAGTGCCCATGCTTTTCGACATGCTGCTCAACTGTTTATACTGAAAATGGGCTGTGAGGGTCTCTCTCCGGGGACACTTTTGGTTCTGTCTGTTGAAATTCCTAAGACAAATTTGGTTGTTCATTAAAAGCTGAGTGACTGCTGGCTCAAATAGCGAGAACCAGTACGAGCTCCCTGCAGAACTTGCTCTTCAGGGGCCTGCAGCCTGTTCGCTTGGTTTAGAGGCGGGCCCAGGATCCACTGCCACGTGCCTTGGTTGAGTTACGTTAAACGTCAGGCAAGCTGACATCTGCAGACATTCGAGCATCCATCATTCATTCAGCTGCTTAACTTTGCATGGGTGACATGTGTGAGCTTTCTTTGAGTTTTTGAAAGGAAAACAGATCGTTAGAAATGAAGATGAGGTTTTATTTCTACCACTATAAATCTTCTTAAATAGTGAGATCCAGAAGCATGTAACTTGTTATGAAGAAGCCCCT